CAACAACAACAACAACAACAACAACAACAACAACAACAACAACAACACGCGCGCGCACGCACACGCACACACGCACACGCACACAGACACACGCACACGCACCTCGTACAAAAAACATTTTCAAGCACCTATGTTCCACACAGAATTCACCTTCTTGGGAGAATTGCGACGTCTGAAGACCCGTCGCTCAGCAGAGCTGCCGAGAGGTCTTGTCGCTCAGCGCAGCGAGAGGCGCAGTCCGCCTCACTCACCTGATCGGAGCGAGCGAGCGAGCGAAGTAGGAAAACAGTTATATGGTCTTTCAGTGATTTGTCATGAAATCTCCCGAAGAGTCGAGAAATCTCCTGAAGTCATTTAGCTTCATCTCGGGTCCAGGAGGAAGATCCTGAAAGGAGCTTCGTTTTGGGGTGGAGATATGACTAGTATTGAGGATATTATTATATGAAATATTATGACATGATCATCCAGTTGGATGTCAGCATTTTGTCAAAGGTTGTGATACAATGTGATACACAGTCACAATACACCTCGTTGCGTGCTGGATGTTACAAATCCACTGTGACCGGGTTGACAGGTATCGATCCGGACCTGCAAACACCTGGAATCACCGACACCCAAAAAAAACAAGACACTGGGTGCTTCGATTTTGCTCTCCTGTACGCCAATCTGAAGCAAAAGAATCTGGATCCAACATCATACAGCTACCAACTGTCCTTTCTATGTGATGGCACAGGCACGCACTGGCAAGGTCCAGGTGCTTCGGCAGTGCCAACTAGGGCAGGGCAAACCCGAATCCTCAGGAAGCAAAGCAGCACAGCTGCAAGCGGTGATGATTTTAGGATATTCTCTTTTGTATGGTAAGTTTTATCAGCTTCAAGAAGTGTTCTGTATACTCACTCTACACTGTCTGGTGCAAGTGAACTCTCTCACGGCAGTTCCAAGACAAAAGCATCACGATTCCAAAAAACAGCCTGGGCCATGAGTCTCTTGTTGCGAACCACAGCGAAGCAAGCCAACAAACTCCACTCCAATCATAGGTGCACAACACCTGAAACCTTCATGCGACAGTCCTCTTACATCTCTCAACCGCCCAAATCCGCGCACCGAACCCTCCGAACCGCCCACAACCGCCCAAATCCGCTCGACCTCGGCCCCAGGACATCGTGTGCCGTGCGACGGGACATCGCTGGCGCCCAGCTGAAGGTCTGCCTCGAAGAAGAGCATCAGCCTGGGCGCACCACGTCCGGCGCTGCGTTCGACGGGGGCCGGGGCACGTGAGAGCATGCGAGAGCATCCGAGAGCAGGGAGTGAAGGCTGAATGGAGTTTTTTTTTGCGGTTGATTGAGGGAAGTTGTTATGAGATGTTATGAGTTTCTTTTTATGAGTTGTGTTTTGTCCTAAGCTAGAAAGACAACGCACACACACACACACACACCATCATCCGTCTTCAGATGGTCACCTCTTTTTGCTCAATCCGCACCTCACAGACCCGCGGACCCGTCCTCGCCTGTTGGGCGCTTCCAGGGTAGTGATCACCCCCAGTGGGTCCCGGTAGCTCGGTGGAGGCACCTGCGGCGGCCGGGACGACCGCGCCACACGGGCATGGGCTTTCTGAGGTGCTGAGATGCTCCAGAAATCGGTCTCTCTGGCAGAATGGGTTTGAGAGGTCTATGAACAAACTCAGAACGTTTTGATACGTTTTGAGAGTCATGCTTTTCAGTGTAGCTGATTGAAGTTGGGAATGACTTCTAGGACCGGTTTCGTGGGTCAGTACAAGTGAGTTGCTTTGGGTCATGTGAGAAAGGACCTGTGAAATCTCGCGGGTAATCAGTTCCAAAGTGGCATGGGGCATGGCCTAGACCTAGAAACACCTCTCTTGACATAATCTGATTCACATCGAATCACACTCCATGCTGAGAAAACAACCAAAGCACGAGCTGACTGTCAGGGTTGACCATGCATCTTCTGTTGACGAGGTGTGTTGAGGGTGGCTGTGGCCTCGAAGGCCCTCCCAGGTCTTGTTCTAGCCCAACAAGGGCAAAATCAAGGGCTGCTTAAAGGACGAGGTGACGGTCCAACATTACTTTACCACTTGATTGCTTCAACCGCTTCAACCAGGCTGAACAAAGATAGACTTTTGAAACTACTTATTGGAACATTGGGACTCATCATCACAGGATATCACAGGCAACGCTGGAAGAAACAAAATCAGAGAGACCAACACGCCGTGACCTTTGTGAAGGTTGTATCCACCGCCACCCTTTGGTGACCCCAAAGGCTCCGCCTCCGGCACTGATGTGGTGTAGAGGGCCACCTGCCGTCAGCGCATGGGAACGAGAAAGGTAAGTGACCGCTGCCCCATTCCCGGAATCTTCGTGAGATTTCGTGAGTCCTTAAGGCAGGCCCACTTAGGAGATTGCTTGTTTGCTTATATGTAGAGTACAAGTTGGATGGACAACTGGACGACTTCCAATATGTGCTTTAGTGTATCGTGGGACACCATTCACAAAGTTTCAAGCTGATGTGGGATCGTTGAACCATCAGTTGCCTTCTCACAGTCTCGGGTCCCTCATCTTCCGGTGTTTTTAGCTTAGAGGCTCAGAGCTTGGCAGTCCCACGGCAAAAATCGGCCAAAGGTCATGGGACTCCAGCTATATGGGATCTCATTTACCAATTTATGGTCCAGTGGCAGTTCGCTAAGCTCCCCTCCCCGAAGCGGTGGCGCTTGGCGAGAGTTCGGAGTTGCATCTGAGACAGTGCAGAACTGCACTCTGCAGGTGACATGGGGTTGAAATGGGTTGAAAGAACTCGAAAACCAGCAAGAAGCTGGTCAAAGCATGGCAAACCTACTATTGACTGTCTGAGTCCCGGGATCTATTTCAAGGGATGGATGTAGCAATTTCAAGATTTGATCCTCCAAGAAGATATCGAACGTTCATATTCGTCAGTACCCTGGAACAGTTCACATAGAGCAATTTGAGGCACAACGATTAAGATCGTATTGGGCTGGATGTAGCGCTCAAAAGGGTCGGTCTGGTGTGAGTAGCGCCGGTCTTCATTTTGTTCATCCCTCACCCTGGTAGAATCACGCACAATCTGCCAACTCTGCCTGCTACCCACTATTAATTGGTAGGAGAGCTTTACAAAATTCTAGAGCTACTATTGCCTTCATTGGTTGGAGAGCTTCCCAAAATTTTAGAGCCATCAGCTTGCTGCAAACCCATCTAAGCTTCTCCAACCCGTCCAAACCTACGTCCCGATCTGCCCACCTCGGACGTCACGAAGGGCGAGGCTAAAGGAGCGCCGTTGCTGCAGGTCTCCCGCGCGCGGAAGAAGTACCCGGTGCCCTGAGGATCGGAATCCTGTGTCAGTGGAAAAAGGAATCCACCTGAACAATTGGATGCCTAGCTCGAAACAAGGGATCGACCAGGGACCTGGTTCCTGAACCAAAGGATCTGTGTTTCGAGCTAGGCAAGGAGTCCCTGAACCAAGGGGTTCCAGGTCCTGAACCGCAAGGAGTTTGGGGGGGTGATCGACCGTCCAAACGTAGTGGGACAGGCTGGGACAGGACCAGAATAATTAGACCACCGACCAGGCACTGCTTGGGAGGTGAGCACCAAGCATTCATTCATAGCCATTTACAAAGGAGTTGAGTTCAAACAAACCCAAGACATACCCAGGCCTCTGGGCATCTCGTCCTAGCGAGGCTACCAAAGCGGCAACAACTACAGTCGGCAACAGCGGTAACGTGGCCATTCATGCAACCTTAGTGCAAATGCTAGAATCCGCTAGAAGTCGTGGTAGCTCCCAAGAATAACCGTCATATATAATCAGCTCGCCCAAACAAAACAAATATCAAAAAGGAATTACAACAACAACAGCAGCAGCAACAACAACAGCAACAACAACATATTGAGCACATCGAGAGATGTATCCAACACCTGAAATTGCAAAGCAATCAATTCAACAAAGCCTTATCTCCCCAAAAAATACACCTCAACACAAAATACAAAAAACATCCAAACATCCATCAACCATCCAGGTCTCGATCCGTTTCTCGGTCTCGAATCCATGGCTGCATGCTTTTGCGGCAGCCACACCGTGCGCCCTTTCACCACACCGTGCGCCCTCCCGACACCTTCGGATTCTTCTGTCCAAACCCTTCAAAAGTTGGGAGGAATCCGGACATCCTTTTCACCAAGTTCTTCCAGATCCACTTCGCACTTCGTTTCACAGATCTCAGATCTCCCGGGGTGGTCGGCCGCGCCTCCAGGAGGTTCATCACCGAGCAGCAGGGTCCCTCGCGCACCGCCAGGCTGCCACAGGTCACTGGCCTCGGGATGACGGAGGCGGAAGTGGGATGAAGAAGTGGATTGGTCTGAGAGTTATCCAAAAAACATGTTTCTGTTCAAACAACTCATAAAGGATTATAAAGGAATATACAATTGGTTTTTGCGTGCTGCGTGTTGCATTGGTTTCAAAGGGGTTGGCGTTGGATTGTGAACACTTTCCAGGTGTGGGGTGAACTGTCCATCCTGTACGATTCGGATTGCTTTGGGCATTGTTCATCCCAAGTAGGGGAAGTCTTGGCAAGCCGAGACGTGGTAGGCCGTTCTGGTGGTTTGGATGTGTGTCAAACGCCTTTTGCTGGACCTCTATACGATGAGCCTCCAAGCACTAGCCATACACCAAGGTCAGTCAAACGCGGCTGTCTCCAATGGTGGCTGTGTGGACCCATGAATCTGGGGAGCAACATGGTCTGGACTGTGGCAAGAACATGCCGAACATCTCTGGTGTCCGGCTTCCAAATGATCAACTTCATGTGGGAAAAAAAACAAACACACAACTATATTTATATGGATCCTTTGTTGGAGCTAAACATGCTTGCCAGTTCATATTTACACCTTTAGTTTCGGCCCATAGAGTCCCTTCTGCAAGCCTCGATTTCTCACCATGTGGCAAGTCCATCCAACTGCTGCCCTCCATCTGCATCTGCAGTTCGAAGCCACTGAAGACGCAGTCACCCGCCGCCCTTGGAACGATGGATTCGACTAAGCAAAGGAGGCGCGGTGGCAGAGCGTGTGGCTCGTGTGGCTCGATAGCTAGCAACCTTTTGGTCTCAAGGCCTATAGAATCCTAGAAACTCAAAACCATGCAAGCAACAACCAACTTTGATCAACCTCTATCCAATATATATAGGTAAAAAAGGCACCTGCATCCCTTCGTGTTCCATCTGACTCGGAACTTCCATGACCTTCCTCTTTTCTTAGGCTCCCACCCGGCGGTGAAGCAAATCTCCAACATGCTCGGCGTGCTCCTGGCAGCCCTCAGCAGTTGCGGCGCCGTCGCTGGGACCAGGCAGCTTCCTGCGAGCACTGCTGCACGGTCAAGCAGCGCCATTTCAGAGCGGACAAACCAGCTGTGGTCTTCCACAATGGGTGCCAAGAATATGAAACCCTACGCCCTGTAGAAAATGGATAGTAGACCTTGGTTCCAACAGCTGTTTTTGAGGCGACTCTTGGACATCCAATTGCATTTTCGCGCTAATCTAGCGCGCTCACTCAGGAGGTTCGATGAAATCTCTGGCATCCGCTGGGCCAGGATTCACATCTTGCCTTTCGGCTACTCGCATCACGGGTCTGGGAGATGTGTCTTTTTCATCAAGGTTTCACTAGGGCGAGGGCGGCGCTGGGCCGGCCGTTTCTTTGTTATAAGTTACAACAACTTATTTGGATTCATACTTATAGTCGGATTAATACCAGGATCCATACCACTTTTCCCGAAAGCATTGCGAAGGGTTCTTCCAGAAAATCTCTTGAACACTGACACTTCTACACTTACACTTACACACTGACACTTCCACACTTGCACTTGAACACTGACATTTCTACACTTACACTTGAACACTTACGCTTCCACACTTACACTTGAACTTCCACACTCACACTTGAACACTTACACTTCTATACGTATCCCAGTGTAAGTGTAGAGTGAAAGCATGCCAGGGCAAGTATGCAAGTGTAAGTATCCAAGTGCAAAAGTATGCAAGTGTGAGTATGGAAAACTTTCAAGGGAGATGTCCTAATGAAAAACATTTCCCCACTTTATAATAAATTCTCTCTTAAAGGCGGAGGGTGGGACGAACAGCGTCAACCGAAAACGCAGCCCTCTGCGGAGATCGTGCGTGTCGAGTGGGCGAAATGCAGGCGAGAGTCCGATTTGGGGAGCTGGAAGATGAGAACTGGCGACTTGCTAGTACAACTTTAGTGCGCGGAGCAATCTGTGGAGCTGGAAGCTGAGAACTGGCGACTCGCGAGTACAACTTTAGTACGCGGAGCAATCTGTGGAGCTGGAAGCTGAGAACTGGCGACTTTGTAGTACAACTTTAGTACGCAGAGTATCGGGGGAGCTGGAAGATGAGGAAGATGAGAACTGGCGACTTTGTAGTGCAGCTTCAGTACGGGGAGTATCTGGGGAGCTGGAAGATGAGAACTGGCGACTTGGTAGTGCAACTTTCGTGCGTGGAGTGTCTGGGGAGCTGGAAGATGAGAACTGGCGACTTGGTAGTGCAACTTTCGTACGCGGAGTGTCTGGGGAGCTGGAAGATGAGAACTGGCGACTTGGTAGTGCAACTTTAGTACGCCTAGCAATCTGTGGAGCTGGAAGCTGAGAACTGGCGACTTTGTAGGACAACTTTAGTACGCGGAGCAATCTGTGGAGCTGGAAGCTGAGAACTCGCTTTTTTCAGTGAGATTTCCTGAGGTGTGCACGCTGCTTCTCAAGGAATGGATTCACCACCAGCAGACATAGACACACACACACACACACAGACAGGGACTCATACACACACATCACACACACACACAGACCCACGCACTGCCTCAACTCACTCGACTTAACACTTCACACTGAACACTTAACAGATAACTCACACTCTAACTTCCTCCGTGATGAAAAATGCTTCCTTGCCACTCGTCGTCTAGTTTTGGTTGTTTATATAAGTTGTCTCACCTGCGTAGGATGTGCGAAAAGAAGGGAAGGCCATCCAATCGCTGCTGGCTGCCGCTGGCAAACACACCTGGGTGGAAGGCTCTGCGTGGCAACCAGGTGAAGGCATTGCAATTTGTTCTACTGATTTCTACTGTATATATACTCGTCATGAAGACCTCCTGTAAATCTCCCGATTTGCCCCAAAGTCTGTAAGGCGTGCAAAACACATGAAACAGGGCACCTTCCCAAGGAACCCAACTGATCCCCCAAACACTCCATGGGACTGGTATGGTATGCCTACATTGACCCATTGACAACAAAGAATACTGTTGTTTGTATTGGTCTTTGCAGTGGATGGCACATGGCGCATTTATATATGCGCATTTCATTTGGAGATAGGAGTGGTGCTGGGGCCCTGAAGTAGACTTGAGGCCGAGGGTTGGTGACGAAAGCTAGCAGGGCGGGGGTGAAGCGGTGACAGTCGGCCCCATGCCAGCGGAAATATATCACACGTCTGGGGGCCCCCCTACATATGAAGTTTCCATGTCATGCGGCGCTCTCAAGGATTCCAGCCCCTCACTTGTTAAAGCAAGAACAACTCCAGCTAGCTGGTGCTAGCTTTGGTGATAAGATAGTTGTGGCCCAAAGCAGTGATGACATGTGATGACCCACAAAGCCTGGTACAGTAGGTCAATTGGTTCTTCATTCCACCTATAGATTCCATCTATCTACAGTACTTGAGGATGACCACACTGAACACAAAATGAACATCGTAACATCCTATCGGACCAAGGACTCCACCGCGTTTGGAGCAAAAAAAAACGCACCGCTCCAAGAGGCAGCTCGAAGACGGGCGTTGTAAGGGGTGTCACACTGCAAATTCATGGCCTCAAGGACATGGATGGCACCGTCGGCTGATCATCCGAACAGAACACGGTCTGTTCACCACAATCTTTGCTCTCGGGGCGTTGTTTTGCCCGACCCTACTCTACCAGGCGTGAGCAACTGGATTAAACATAAATGCGGAAGTGGACAGCTTCGATGTCCAAACGTGCGGGATGTAGCATGGATATCCATAAAACGATTCTCAGGTACAGTCTTAGGATGTCTTAGGCGTGGCTCTTGTTGCCTATACCGATCGAATAGCTGTTCGTCGATTTGTCGTGCCCCCCAAAAAATTGAGGTTAACGGGGTGATTGAGGATTTGTCCAAGCTTTGGTGGCCCATCTTGCAGGGAAAGCCGAAAAGCCGAACGTTGGCTTTGATGTCCCCAGGTCATCTACAAGTTGCAGTAGCAAGGGCCCCCATACCATCCGCTGTTGTGCAGCGGGGACACATCCAAACCATGTTACACTATGTGTGTTCCCCTGCAGGGTCTCATTTTCGGGTTAGACCACACAGAAAGTTTCCGACTGACAAAGAGCGCTTATTTTTTGAATGCAGGGTTGATCATGAGGAATCACAGCATGTCAATCGAAACAAACGAAATGGCCCTACATGGGTGATGATGCACATACTGTAGCAGGTCCAAGCCCTGTATTGCAATAGGGAGACCTTCCAAAGACCCTCAAAAAAGAAGGAACATAGACCAACATCCATTGGTTGGGCGCCCTATGAAAAATGCACATCCACATCCACCCCGGGCCATCCATCCTCTGCGAACATGCCAACGCCGAGCACGCCGAGCACGCCGAGCATCGATGCAACTGGTCGAACTGCTCTCGGTCAAATCAGCACAGCCTTCAGGGACTCCCCAGTCCTTGGCACCAAGTGCCGGGTCCAGGGAAGCAAAGACAGCAGAAGCTTCGGTGCTTTCTGACGTGGTTTGGAGGGTCCAACGACCTTTGGACGATGATTCATACAGAACGCTTCTCATCCAGGGGCGCTTGCAGTTGTGCTCCAGGGAAGCAAATGCAGCTGTCAACACGCGTGATATTGGAATCTTCATGGTGCAGATTTGGCGGGGGCGTTCTTTCTTCCAAACCGCTTCCACACATCTGCTTCAAGTGTCAACTCCCATATGTGTGTGATCCCGACAATCCCGTGCAGCGTCGGATTCCTCGAGGTAACTGGACTTCGGGGATCTGTTCTTTGAGGTATAGTTGATAATTGGACCGGCGCCGAAGCAACGGTGCCGGGAAGCCGCTAACAAGCCACACTTAAAAAGAGAATCAAATGAGATGTTGATTCCCCCCTGGCTTTCGGTCTCCACCAATTCCTGGCAAACACGCTTTCGATCGATCAACGACACTTTCGATCGATCACACTTTTCACCCAAGCGTCGCTTTGGCTTTGCACGTGGATCTCCAGCTGCCACGACTGGAAGTCGCAGTCCGAGGACACGGACGCGTCGCCCGCGGAGCCTTGGCCTGAGACATGGCGTGAGTCTCTGTCTCCCCCCCCAAAAGATCTGCATATCTGCTACAGTAACACTTCTTTGCAGAAAGTGTTTGGATAGGGCAGCTGCGTTGGATTTGGATAGGGTTCAACTACTTTCTCAAAAGGTAGAAGCTTTTGAGGAAGAATAACAACGACCTTGATCCAAACAATCTATCGCCCGCACTCAAGGAACAACGACCGCAAACTCTGGCCGCCTTGAATACTACTGGTACGGTATGTGGATAATACCCTTCTCGCTGCAGCCCTCGGCAAATCTTCCCCAGTCCCAACATGAGTGATTGTGACAGCATGTCACAGCGGTGTGGCTTGTTCCTCTGTTTCTCCTTCATATTAATTAAGCCAGTACCAAATCATAGAGTAATAATTTGGCAAGAGTTGTGACATGGCTCATGACTCATATATGTTTTTTGGGGGGAGTAGTTCTTTTCTCCATGCGAGGACCTTCCCCAAATTACATCTTCCTCTAGAACTACAAGCATTACATATGTTGCAGTAGCTCAACAAAAAGGGGATGCCTTCCATTCCGCAAGCACCTGCAGGTTCTGGATCCTTGATGGTCCTTCCTCTGGTTAGGAGCTGTATACCCCCTCTCAGAACTCGAATGGCTCAAATCCCCAAGACTGTTTTGCCCAGTCACAAGACAAAACCACCGCTTGTGAACTGAGCCAAGAGTCCTGATGATGATGTACCACCTTTAAGGCTCCACACCCCAAGAGGAGACCTCGTCTTCTCCCCTCATCCCCTGTCCACACCCAGCTGGTCACCACACCTGGGATCCAGTTGAAGGTGACGCGTTGACCCGACTCCGTGGGCACCGAGACCTGGTCCGATCCGACTCCGGTCAGCTGGCCCAGTCCTTCCAATCACACCGGTGGAAAGCGAATGGATCGCTGGAGTTCTGAACGTTCGCACATGTCGGACACCGAGTTGCTTCGCTTCAGGATGTCCAAGATATGATCTGCGAGTGTATTCACTTGTTCTACCATGTTTTGATATGTGTCGAAAACACGAAAGAGCATGAACAAAAACACACATATATCTTCTCTGGCGCAGCTCTTGTCTTGCAACAAGCGGTTCACATCCTAGCAGTGTACACCAAAACAGCAACAGGTTCGAAGGCGTTTCCTGGATGCTTGTTCCCTGAAGTCGACAGATTGTTTCTTTGGAATCTCAGTGAAGGAACAAAAAGAACTATATCAACCGCTGCCACAGCCAAGTGTTTGGACTATGCTCGTCAGGGTCCAAGACGATTATGTGTTTAAACAAGCTATATATCGGTGACCTGAGTCTCTGAGTCTATAGGAATGTCCTTTGCTTCACCGGGCCTCTCTTGCAGATCGTCTGACGGACAAATCACCGGTCCCCCCGATTCCCCACACCCAGCGACGCCCGCCGAAGTGGGCACTGCGCTGCGCCTGCGGAGTTTGGTGAGTGGTTGGGCCGTGGTGCCCGGATCGTACCGGATGTGAGCAACAATAAGGTTAACGTGTTCAACCCAGATCCAAACCGACAAACACCGTGACGCGGGTAATACTGTAATAGTAAAATTATGCAACACCTGTTATGTTTCGTTGTTCCATGGTGTTCCCACCCAGCCACTCAAAGGCAACGAACAGCACCCGAAGCCGGCAAAAGAGATCTTACAAGGCTGCAAGCAGCTTATATTCGAAAGACTCACGCTGTTGGTTCATGGTGCGGCAAGGCACACAACTTAATCAAAAATAATCAAAATGTGTCCATTACTGCATCTCTCCGGCACGTCTAAGCAGTGATGATGACGACATCAATACCCAGGCCATCCATGCATGGAATGTTAAATATAGTCACCTACATTAGGGTCCCACGGATTCTCTGGGATACCAGTCAAACCACCATTGGTACTACCACTGGTAAGCTGAGGTCTGACTCCGGTGGACCCCGAGTTTGACTGAAATTCCCTCCGCAAGTCGCAGGGATCTTCACAAGTTGCCTCTGAAAGGTGGATTTTTGGAGGGCCCAGAGGTGCCAAGCCTACTTTGGTCCGAAAAGCCCACGTCTCAACGCCTTGCAAAGCGCCCTGGGCCCCATCTGAGCTCAATTGCACCCCCACCTCGCCATGGTCCGCAAGGAGCTGCTTGGAGCAGAGGGGCTGCTGCTTGCCCTCAAAACGGCTGGGTAGTGAAATCCACTCCAACACCACGAGGGAGGCCCCACAGAAGTGCAGCAAGTGGGGTAAATGAAGAGGCGGAGAAATCACCCCGAAGGTGGGATCTACCCGCGGTGAGGTGTAGAATTACCCAAAGAGGTAGAAGAGAGAAAGCACAACATATTTTAAATCTGGGTGAGCTTTCTTCCTCGCTGCGGTTTTCATCAGCCTGACCGCCCGGCCCGAAAATCATCTGGAATTGCTGTGCCATGGCTTTGATTTTGTGATATGTTTCGAGGGGTATCACTTAAACCCTTGCCTACCTGGTTGATCTCATGTGCGACATAGCACACAGAGCGAGCGAGCGAACGGCAAATCTGCAAAACCATTGGAGGCTGCTTTGGTACACGATACACAACGCTGTCAAAGCCAGTGAGCATGAGGTGCTTACCACCACTTGGAATGGACATGACCAATGGCTTCGAAAGGATGCAGTTGCAGAGTTGCAGGAGAAGCACGTGATGGTGATGGTGATGGCAATGGCGGTGGTGATGATGATTATTGTTATTATTATGATGCTAGAACTGTAGTCCCATGCAACCCCGTCCTCACTGAACATTAAAAACATAACACTACGTATCCTCACAAACCTTGAACATCCTTGAACACACCCACCATTGAGCAAAGTCATTATCCAAAGAATCCCCTGTGAGAGTGGAGAGTGTTGGCGATCACGGGAACGTTGAACGCGCAACATGGAACAATGTCTCCCGCTGAAGATGGTGTGGTGTGTTTGAACATGGGAGGAACCTTACCAATAGGTGAACTCCTCTATATACACTTCGATTGTTGCCCAGGTGACTCCATCTTCTTCCCGGTCTGTGAAGCTCCATATTGGAATGCCTCGGAATGCCTCTAAAGTGCAGGAAATACATGGCAATACCACATCCATTGACCACTGAAGCTGGGCACCTCCAAAACAATGATTTCTCTCCCACCAATGGTAGAAAAGAATCGCCTTGTTCCCTCGACTGTGACCACCAAGCGAATCTTCGAGTGACCCGGGACCCCGTGCCAGTGGAAGGGGAATGGACAAGGGAATGAGTGATATATATAATAAACATCAACAAACGAGTTTCAGGGTCACAACTGGACGATCCGAAGTCTCTGAAATACCGACCGTCGCTCTTCGAGGCCTGAAGGCATCCAGCTTCTTAAAGCAGCTCGGGGATCCTCGCCAGGCGCAAACACCGACGGAAACCACCCCGACAGGGACCGGGTCAGGTCCAGTACGACTGGTGGTCTTGGTGAACCACCCTGGGTACAATGTAATGTCCGTGATGATTGTGTAGTTGATCAATTCTGGGTGATGGAAAGTAACATGACCGTTCTCCATCGTTCTCCCCCTATCATCTGGTCATCACATGTCATCACCCCTTTTGGACTCTGACAGAGGGTGGCCTGGAAGACGGCGAAGGAAATCCACATCTCCAGCTTCGCTCAGGTGCAAAACTTGACCAGCAGAATGATCCCAACATATCCCAACTAATTGGAACCTCAAGTTGAAGATCGTTGACTTCTACACGCTGGTTCTGTTCCAGCAACCCAATCCTGGATCAAACCACTTATCCCGTAAACAGCATGTCACATCTTGATAGATCCTCTATGTCAGGTAGGTCACCCTAAATTGGTGTCCATCCTAGGGCCTATAGGTGGGTAGTCACAAGTTGTGTGTGTCTTCACTGGCATAAGTGAACATTAACTAATTAGTCTGTTCTATGATGCAGAATTCTGACCCACCATGTTCTGAGCCCCAGACCGTCGGGAACTGAGCAAGTGTCGTCCGTTGGCTCCTTGGCTGGAACAGATCTACACTCCCTGTCCCTAAGCATGGAAGTGCAGTTCACCACCTGTTTGGTCTTCAGAAAAAGGTCATCCTTCCGGGACCATGCCATCCATGAGGAGACACCCAATGCGTCCGTGACACCCAAGAGAGATCTAGGGCTTCGGGTCCCACCTTCAGCACCAACAGGGGATGATGCAAAGAAAAGCCGGCGCTCTAATCATGATTCCTGGATTCCTCAATGCATCTGCAACTCAGTTCCAAACTCTTTGGCACTACCGACTACACAGCACTCAATTTCTCGGGGGGGTTGAGCAATCATACTCATGTGCAATCGCCTATTTTGCTCAGTGCAAAAGCTGCCCCGTCAGTAGCACCTGAGGTGATGCAAATCCTAGCGATCCTGTTTGACTGCTGTGACCCCCAAAAGAGCTGATGCCATTGCTGCTTCTTCATCACATTTCACCCCGAAAAAGACATTGGCTGCACTTCTTGCTGAACAACATGGTTTGAAGGGATCGGGTCTTTGAGTGGCGCCCGACGGCAATGAAAGAACTTGACCGAGACATTCCAAGTGACACAAAGTCATCCACACTCAGATCGTTTGGTTGAATCGATCCGTCAGGATATGTTGGTAGTTGCCACATGGATCCACATGGCCTATTTCCCTAAACCAATTATTTTTTCTTGAGTCGGGGCTAATACACGTCCCATTTTTGCCCAAAGCCCAACCATTGAGCATCATCAGCCAAGCCGCACCTGGATCGCAGGGAATCCTTTGAGCACTGGGTGTCTCCGCGCACTCATCGCAAAGCACGGATCCTCTTGCCACATACTCGGTGTTGGACATCAAACCTGCCCGGACATATAGCACAAAGCAATGACATGGCACGACACAAGAATTGACTTATGGGACACTGTTTTGCTCGGGTGAGACAGTCTGATCATGTCTGATCGGAGGGGGAGTGCCCGTTGATCTCAGGCGACCGAGAACGAGGAGATCCCAAACAGAAGCGTTCTCGGTGGGAGCGTGGGCGAACCCCGAACCCAGGGTCTAGGGTCCACCGGAAAGGACGAAGCGAAGCGATCTACCGGTGACCACTCGGGTGACGAGGTGACCACTCGGGTGACGCCAGGGAGACCGAGAGAGGTGTAACACCCCAGCCGAGTGAACCGGCTCGAGCGCCAAGTCGCGAGAGACTTGGACGTTTTCGGCTCGGGTCTCCCGGACGTGTCTTTCTCCCGCCGCGCCACTGAGCGGATGACGTTAGCTTGAAGGTGGTACGTCTGACACCGCTTTGCGAAGTCAAGACCTTGAGTTGGACGACTACGTTCAATGTGAGTCCAACCCTGAAACAACGACGACAGTCGAGGCAACGACCGAATCTCTGAAGCCAAGCGTGATGATCAAAAGAACGAAATGAACAGCTCTTAATACAACATCCCAAACGCAGCCTCTCTGCACCGAGCCACCTGATTTGTCCTCTCACATGTGACGGGATGTGTTGCAGCATGCGATCCACAATGTCAGATGCGATTGCCCGGCTTCAGCTTCTTTTTGGGTCCTGTCGACTTACATGACAACCACGCTTCCTCAGAAATGCTCTTGCGTGTCAACTCTGTCCCCTCATCAAATTGAAGTAGGATGGACGTGATTCTATTGTCCGAGAGATCTTGCGGAACACCTGCCAAAGCGGGGTACTGTTTCATGGCTCTCTTGAGCCATGACGACTCAGCGATGTCTGATAGCCGCATTGAGGCACCTGGAGAGATGCAACGTGACCTTGCAGGCCAGGAAAGTGTTTCACATACTGCACTTTTTCTGCGCTTGAGTTTTTTGTGGAGTGAGAGCTCGTTGCCGACGTCCCTCGCGAAGGGTTGCTGCGGTGAGAGCCATCTTTTGCTGAACTCTGACAAGATCTGACAAGGAAAGGAAACATGGAATTCGGTACCGCAGGAAAGCCAAGTGCCAACACGTGCAAAGTGTTTCCGGCCCGAAAAATCCTCACAAGGATGGAACCTTCCCGAAATGGCATGGATTCAACGATGATACGATGCAACTCCTAAGCGCAAATCACGGCATCATTGTGACAAGGCCGTTGCCATCTTGGGAATTGAAGTGGACCAGCCATCAGGAACTTCTTAGTCGCTATAATGTCTAACACATGTCACGCTCAGCAATCATTCTCAAGAAGGCTTCGTAGGAGCAAAGGGGTAGACGACCCAAGAATCACCAATTCTGCGCCTTGTCCACACACACTCACCAGTGAACCCCATGCCAACATATACCATCACATACCAGCACCATGCAGTCACGCAACCAATGACAGGGTCCAGTCCAACCCATGAACCCGGTAAGCGCCGACCTGTCGTGTCGGTGGTATGAACACGTACGCACATGTGTTTATATGGCTCCCTAGGGATCCAAGTACCTTCTCAGAAGGCACTTGGACCCTCCACAGCCACCCCAAACACCTTCTGAGAAGGTACTTGGATCCCTAGGATCTATACAATTATGGGTCAAAAACCGGGAGCCCCTTCGTTGACCTACAGCATCCCACAGCCATTCTATTATAGACATAGACCGCCGCCCAATCTTAGCCCTGGCATTCCTTAGCCCTAGCATTGATTTTGATAGGTTTTGACCGAACCATGCTTGCTTTGCCGATTCTTAGACTGCCGGCAGCAGGTCCACCTGTCTCAAACGGACGAACGGCGGGTCGCCTGTCGCCAAACAGCTGGTGGCATCCCCAAGGAATCGACAGCCCTCGGGCTCTTGCCAAACCTGGGCGCTTCCCACAAGCGCATCGGGTTCACGGATGGTCTGAAACACCGCAACGTCACCAGTGGAGCTCCAAAACACCATGAAATTCCTCCATGCACGGTCGATTTGGATGAGCTAAGTGCTTCCTTCAAGTAAAAAGGACACCCTTTTTTCCCGATTTGGTATTTGCGAGCTCATGACTGTGGATACAATGTCCAAAAACATGGAGACTCAACAGACATCAGGTAAAGGGGGCAGAAACCCATGTCTGTGTCAGAGATCTCTCATTCTGAGACAAACCAAGAAAAGATATATTTAAAAACACACACACACACACCAGACTTCAATATAAAACAGACTCATCTCATGCAAAGCCTTCACCGATTGACTGCGCCTTGTGGCATTAGAACACGTTGCCTCTCATTTCTCACGTTGCCTCTCTGTGTGCCCCTCAGGGCACACTGGACTACGGACTACCAGTTTGGCGTCCCACAGGTCACTTACGCTGGTCGTTCTTCCCGAACTCGGCACGGGCCTTTCGCACAGGAACTGCCCGTCCCGAGTCCTGTCCCGAGAGAGGAAAACGAGTGTCCAAATCGGATGGGAATTGGATGGATTTTGGGCTACTTGTAGGACACTATTGAATCGATAGAACTGGAGATTGTGGCATGATATTCAATCGCGTGATTATGTTGCCTGTGGCAAACATGTATATTCAAGGCTAAGAAAACTGCAGCACCAGTTCTGGTGCAAAGTTTTCTACCAACAAAAATTGAAATTTCTGTGAATTCCTGTGGTGCGTTATTTTGAGGGATTTGACCCCTCAGAACGAGCGACCACCCGGTCGAAATCGGAAGTCCTCCAGTGCTCCAGAATCTAACCAGCAAAAACTCTGGAACCCGTGAGGGTAGAGGACACGGGCCCACTTCGGCCGATGTCCATCTCGATGTCCATACATCGAAATCCACTTCTTTGGAATGTGCTGACTCACTGAGTAATGTCCAAAGGACAAGTGCAGACTTATGTATTTATGTGCTCATCATTGACTGGGATCATCTTTGCTGCGCTTTGGACATCAAAGGGCTTCCAGCACATAAGGCTCAGCTGGATCTCCAGCGCCTTCAAGCTGCGGCTCGTTCGCCGCCGAGCTGTGGCGAGGATCTCCAGCCCTCCGAGGGCGTGGACGTCGGGGACTGCGGCGAGACCGGTTTGAGCTGCCGGAAGAGGCGAAGGACTCCATCCGTGTCGGGGGATCTTCCTGTAGCACCTGGGGACAGAAGCTCACAACTTTGGAGGGCTGAATGGACACTTTGAAAAGTTTGCACGAAAACTCAAACGCAAATCCGCCGGCACCACATTCTTTGCCAAAGGTGCTGAGGGGCACAACATGACATAACACTGTTGGGTCGCGTTCACTGCTAGATTAGCTGTAGCTAGGGGCCTCATTTTCGTTCGGGAACGAACATGCCTATCCTGCATCATGACGTGCATCTGGGAGAGGCGCGGGTGTGGGAGAAAACATGGAAAAAGACACGATTTTCACGTATCATCTATGTCTGATTTTCCTTATCGTATCATTTGCATCACCAGGTCCATGAAAAGCAAACAAACGACTCCTCTCAACAGCCCATGTTTTACTGTATTTTTGTTATGGTTGCATCATATGCAACAGCTGCTTGTAATTGCCTTGCAATTGGAAAGTCTATTATGCTGTCATATGCATCCGCCGGTTGCAATTGCATCGTTTAGTGTACAAAATGTCTGCAAATCAATTTAGAACATGTACAATTTCAAGGGGGGCAAAAAACATGTCCAACAATGCTTGCAACTAGTGAGAACCATAACTAAACAATGTGTAAGATGGTCCAAACATAGAGAGTCTTAGAGAGTGATCATAGAGACTTCGTCTATTTTATTCATCCGCTTCATGCTGCGTTCATCTCTAAGTTTTGTGTCGATCATGCACATTGTACAGTTTATTGCAGTGTATTCTATATATTCGATCGATTGTTCGACCCCCTTGAAATTGTACATATTTCAGGTGTCCAAATTATGTATATATACACATATTATATGTGCAGTCATTGGATATAAGTTATAAGTTGTCCAACGATGCCTGCAATGAATCCACTTCCTGCTGCGTTCATCTCTAAGTTTAAAATTGTTCGAGCTGATTGAACATGTACAAGTTCAAGAGGGTCAACTTGAGGCCAGGGGGAGGAGGTCGAAAGGTAGCCGAATCGCACCGGATGTACTATTTACATAGTTGGCAAAGCATGTCGTGTTACATGTTTTGGGAGAAAGGTTGCTATGTACATACTTTGCGCGAAAGAATGTAAATGTGACATCACTGACTGGGAAGGGTACATTGGAACAACCCGGGTGCACTATTTGGTAAAAGGTACAGGGCCTAGAGTCTTGAGGAAATAGCGGGTGTATGGTTATAGCAAATCTGGGGGGGAAATTTACCCCCCGCTTATGTATGCCTTGGGTCGGAAAGAAGGGTAAGCATTTCTGACATCACACGGACTGTACATACACTGGGGCGT